TCTCTCTCTCTCACTGTCCACTCTGCCTGTCAAAAAAAAAAAAAAAACAAAACAAAAAAAAGGAGAGAGAAGACCCAAATCAATGAAATTAGAGATGAAAATGAAAATCTAAGGACACACACCAGAGAAATAAAAAGAATCATCAGAAATTACTGCAAAGAGCTGTATGCCAACAAACTGGGAAACCTAGAAGAAATGGATAGATTCCTAGACACATACAACCTACATAAATTGAACCATGAAGACATAGAAAACCTAAACAGACCCATAAAAAGTCAGAAATTGAATCAGCAATAAAGACCCTACAAAGATAAAAAAGCCCACAACCATATGAATCACCACTGAATTCTACCAGCCATTTAAAGATGAACTAACTCCACTCACTTCTCAAGTTATTCAAAACAATTGAAAGGGAGAGAATCCTCCCAAATTCTTTCTGTGAAGCCAGCATGACCTTAATTCCTAAACCTGAAAAAGATATAACAGAGATAGAGATCTATAGATCAATTTCCCTGATGAACATAGACGCAAAAATCCTCAATAAAATTCTGGACGATAGAATGCAACAACACATCAGAAAGATCATCCACCCAGACCAAGTGGGATTTATCTCTGGTATGCAGGGATGGTTCAATGTTTGCAAATCAATCAATGTGATACATCACACTAAAAGAGTTATCTGCTCCTCAGTGTTTATTTCAACTCAATTCACAATAGCTAAGACATGGAATCAACCTAAATGCCCATCAACCGAAGAATAAAGAAAATATGAGATATGTATACTATGTAATACTAAGGAGCAGTAAAAAAAAAATGAAATCCGATCGTTTGAAACAAAATGGATGAATCTGGGAAACATCATACTTAGTGAAACAAGCCAGTCCCAAAAGGACAAATACCATATATTCTCCATAATCTGTGAAAACTAACAGAGCACCTCAAATGAAATCTCTAGAAGTGAAATTGACACTTTGAGAAGGGATGACTTAAGCTGCCCTTGTCTTGACTGTCAAGGAACACTTTAGTTTTTTTGTTTGTTTTGTTTTTTCTTCATACTATTTGTTTTACACTTTACTTAACATAGAATTAATCATATGTATATAAAGTCAATTGAGGATGGATCTCATTAAAAATAAGAATGGGAATAAGAGATGGAGGAGGAAGTTTGTAACTGTAAAGCTGTATAGTTCTGCATTCATTCCTATGGACTTACCTCTAAGGGTACAGTTTAAAAACTTGTCATGGGACTCCAAATCCCATTAAGCTGGGTGCTAAAAATGGGATCTGAGATGTTAAAGTGACCATATTAAGTGTTATTAAGTGTTAAAGTGAACATATAGATAGGATTAAGTGTTAAAGTGATCATATAAATAGGATTAAGTGTCTTTAATAATAATAGATATAGGTATAAATGATAAAATGTTCCAACAAGGGAAGCAGTCCACACAGCAGACTCATAGAATGACAATTGCTTTACGTAGCATTCTGATGTCAGGATCAGTCCTTAGGGTACTCTGGTTGGCTGAAAAGACTGTGAGAGCATTTCAGACATGGAAAGCCAAGATACTGTGGCAAAAAATGTTCTACATGAAGGATCTCTGTGAGTGAGATCCCAGTGGAAAGAAGTAGCCATCAAAGAAGGATGTACTTTTCTCTGAAGGGAGGAGAGAACTTCCACTTTGCTTATGGCCTTATCTAAATAATGAGAGAGTTTGTGGATTCAAAAGGCTTCCAAAGCCTAAGCATCTCATGTCAAGAGCCTCACGTGGTCGCTGACATCATACTTAAGAGTGTTAATTGTTAAATTAACAACAGGACTCACTGTGCACTAGCTCCTCATTCAGGACTTCTGTCCTCAATGTGTTGTATTATGAGAGTTAACATTCAAGATAGGAGAATTTTCAAAGTGATAAAAGAGACTCGTAAATTTCACATCTCTCCCTAATGAAGATGAAAATCATGTTAAACACCAAATACACTTGTCTAACTACATCAGGAAATACTGTTCTGTATTTGCTAATGAAATGTGATGCTACTGTATTCAGGGATAGCCAAAACAAAGTGAAGATATAACATTCTAATTACAAGAAGGCAATTGGTAAAATGGTTGTATGCTTTAAACTGTAATAAAAATTAATAAAATTATGTAAATACAAACACACACAAAAAAAGAGTTAACTGTGAAACTTGTCCTCAAACAATTTTTTTTGTATGTGCAAATTGTTAAAATCTTTACTTAGTATAGAGTTGGTCTTCTGTGTACAAAGTTAATTGAAAATTAATCTTAATGGAGAATGGAGCTGGGAAGGGGAGAGGGTGGAGGAGGGGTGGGAATGTGTGTGGGATGGCAGATATCATGGAAAGAATAACTATATTCCTCAACTTATATTTACAAAATCATATTCCTTAAAAATTAATTAATTAATTAATTAATTAACAAAATTTTAAACAAACAAAAACTCCAACTGGTCTCCTAGAATTATGGCACAGAAGAAATTCAAGTACTGGGTTTTCACCCTAAAATCACTGTGCTTTCATTGTTCAACAATAGTCACAAGAATTTGTTTAAAGAACAGCACAACCAACGACTGGTTTTCAGAGAAGACTGTTACCACTGACATTGTTTGGAATTGTTGATGCAGGGTAAGAATAACCAAGTGGACTAGCTTACTCAGATAATTGGTTTTATTATTTTTATTTTCTAGAGATACAGAGCCCCTTATTGCCTACACCCAAAGTGGCCTGCTCCCACTACCCTGTACTTGGAATGCCACTGGGTTCTCTTTGGGAGTCAGTTTTACAGAATTCTTCTATAAATCTTTTTTAAATGCCCAGCTGAGCCTGCTCATCTTCCTACAATTTTGTTATCCTCTCATTTCCTGAACTAAACACCTTTTTGCTTAAACCACCTATTATATATTTCAACTAACTATTCTAGTTACGTTCAAATAAACCCTGATTCATACAGACGGTAACACAGATTTGTGCTTAGAGCAAGAGTTTTTGAAAATATAGTTTCCATCAAAGGAACTCACATTACCCTAATAATTGATGTATTGAGGCCCATTGGCTTATTTGATTTTACTATGTGACATCTCACCTATAAGAAATTGGCCTAATAGAAAAATGAAATCTTAAAGACCTGATTCTGACACCACATAGGAGAATACTTCCTGTGAGTTTGGTGTGCAGTTTATGGCATACACTTTCAACTAGGAACTGTAATCTGTTTCTCTCATAACTAGAATACAGGGGCTAGGAACTAAGGGGTTATGGTGAAATTACACTTAATGATCTACTTGCAAAAAATTGTGTTTTTCTTCTCATTCCCATAACTCTGATTTCTTCTAGTTTAGAAGATGATTATTCTTGCAAAAATATTTATTTATTTTAAACATAGTTGCAAAAAAATGAGAGACAGATAGACAGAGAATTTTCTATCCACTGGTTCATTCCTCAAATGGCTGCAACTGGGAACCTAGGATTCCATCTAGGTCCCCCAGCTGGACGTAGAGGCCCAAGGACTTGGGCCATTTTCTGCTGCCTTACTAGGTGCATTAGTAGGGAGCTGGATAAAAAGTGGAGCATATAGGACCAAAGCCAGTACCCATATGGGATGCCAGAGTTGCAGGCAAAAGCTTAACCTGCTGCATCACAATGCTGGCCCCACAAGAATTTTTCTTTTCTGGAACAAAGCAATAATTACACTAAATTTAAAACAGAGAAAGCCACCCAATTCCAGTAGGCAAACTAGCAAAAACAACATTACTATGTTGTTTAAGGTGATGGATGCTAATCATAATTGTTACCTTATGTGTTACAAGAAAAGTAAACCATAATTTATTTCTATTTCCTGTTGAGACATCCTTTTGCTGTTTTTCCTGTAACAGGAAACCTCTTTGAATGTGTCTTGTTATCCACGTAGGTGAAAAGGTAGATACCTAAAGGTAGAATTCCTGATTGGCAGAATGTGAATATTTAACTTTACAAGGTGGTGTCAAAATGCCACTGGGAAAAAACAAGCCACCGAAGTTGTTGTACCCATTTGTACCCCTCAGCAAAGACTGGATTTCTATTCCTGCCCATTTATCCTGCCAATCTAACAACCATACAATGATAGCTCTTTGTTGATTTAATTAGTAATCCCCTGGTTAATTGAGGTTGAATACCTTTTCACATGTCGTGGTTTGATCATGATGTGGCTTTCTCAAATCACGCAGACATTTAAACTGCAAAACTTTTTAGGTTCTTTTTACTTGCTGAACACTGTACTTGTTCCTTGTCTGACCCAGTGGTATTGTTTCTTTTCTCTCTCTCTCTCTCTTTCTTCCTCTCTCTCTTAAATAAATAAATAAATTCAAAAGCTATTGGGGGGGGTCATGAGAGCAGCCCACACAGTGAAATCTGGTCAGTGGCACTAGGTGGACACATGAGTGACCCCATGGTGGCAATGCTCAGGTCTCAAGTGCCTGGCATGGGGCAGGCTGTGAATGTGATCTCTCAGCCCAGGGACAGCTCTGCAAGTCTGGTCTTCTCATCCCAAGTCCGCAGAGGGGGCAGCAAGAGGCTAGCATGGCTGGGGTTCTGGTGACATGCACGGCGGGAGGTGTGCCCAGGTTTCCCAGTGCGGTCTGCACCTGTGGAATAGCTGCTTGCATGTGGGGCACCCACTTCCCACATACCCTTAGCCATGTGGCATCCTGTCCTCGCTGAGCCTTTTGGCTTGTGGCAGAGGAAACAAGCCTAGATCCTGTCCTTACTTCCAGCCAGAATAGGTGGCCCTGTGGCCACAGTCCTCCTGTGGGTTTTTACAACCAGGCAGCCCAAACTTTGCCCAGCTTTGGCCTGTCCCTGATCCTCCTGCTTAGGTGGGGCTGGGGGATGCTGGTGCAGATGCTGAGTGTGTCCTCATGGAAGGGAGGGGAGAGGCAGAGGGAGCCAGGGGCTGAGGCTGGGTTTGGCCTCCCCAGGGAAGGGAGCAGTGGGGACAGCAGCTACTGAGGGTGGGTGTCTTCCAAGGGAAGGAGCAGTGTGGGGGAAGGCAGGTGCTGAGGCTTTCCCAGGGAGGGGAGCAGTGTGTGTGTGTGTGTGTGTGTGTGTGTGTGTGTGTTTGTGTGTTGGCAGGGCCTAAGGCTGAATATGTCCTCCTCAGGGGAGACAGGTGCTGGGGTAGATGTGTCCTCCTCAGCAAAGGGAACAATCTTCTCTCCAGTTTAATGCCTATGTAGACAAGGTGACCTCCTGAGGTGCCTCTTGGGGAGCGGTTCTCTTCCTTTTTGGGGGTTGGGGTCACAGAGGTCAGCTCAAGAGTGTAGTGTTACTGTCCCAACCCATGGGAGACCCCCTGAGCCCCAGGAGCTGGACCTCCTGGGTCTTCCCATCTCACACACAAAATTCTGCGTACAGCAGTGCGCCAGTCTGCTAACTGCTGACTGAGCAGAGGAGGCTGTGGGTCTGTGTTTTAGGCATGTGAAACACAGGGCCGGGGCTGGATGGTACCCTGAGTGAGGCACAGGGGCCCCTGATGGACTTTGGGGTTGCGCTAGGCTTGCTTGTTTCTCCCTTGGCGTCTGGATGTCCCGGGCAGCCCCTCGGAACCATGGCTCCTCCCGACTGCCCAGCTGGGCCTTCAGAAGGGTTATTCTCACTCCTTGCTGTTTCCATATGTAGGAACAGTCAGGCCTTTGATCTGGATTTGAGTTCCTTTTCAAGTTCTGATTTGCAAGTCGCCTGGTATTTCACCTTGCCTCGGACCCAGCCGTTTGTAGAAACCCGAGACTCTGTAGTCCTCCTTGTCATGAGCTGAGGGAATCTCAGCATGGGCTCACGGAAGACACTTACTTCCATATGGCAGTGGCACTGCCTACCAGGCAGTGAAGGACACCTGGTGCTCTCCGTTCTCGCTATGTGCAATGACCTGTTCACCCAACACGGCCACCATTTGTGCTGGCCATTGTCACCGTCCCCTGCACCTGGTGAGGGTCAGCTATGTTCTGGGATCTCAACCTGTGAAAGGCTGTAGACTTGAGCTCCGGATTAGAAGGGAACAAACGAAACCATCAACCCAACAAAGTCCTTACAAACCAACTCCATCAGCCCCCAGGTATGAAGCAAGGTGTCAGATTCTGCCTATTCAGCCTCAGCATGATAGAAGCTACTGGAAAGGATCCATGATTGGAAAATGACACAAACCTCCAACTTCCAGCCTCTCTGACCCACAGCCACACCAAACTCCTGGGTGGTTTGGATTCTAAGAAAAACCTCACCTGGTAATACCACGACTTTTAGGGTTGGAGAAGGTACCTTTGAGCAAACTGCGGAAACTCCCTGGCATGCTGGCTTCTGATGGGAGGATTGTTCGGATTAAAATATCCCAGTGCCTGCCTTAAAGGAATCTATTTCCCCAGAGTGTAAACCAGACAGGTGGATCCTGGATTCATGGCCGCCGCATGCCTTCACGGACGTGGTGGTCGCTGTGACAGTCTAATTCGTCACTCCTTTTTGTTGATGTACGACAAGCAGTCTCGCTATTGGCATGGGCCTCAAGCCTCATTCATTTAACAAGCACTTAAAAAGGTCAGCCTTGAGTGGGGGCAGGGGTGTACAAGACACTGTCCAAGTGTTTAAAAAGGGGTGGGGCACGTGGAACCACGGAGTAGGCGTCAAAGGAGGGAACCAGCCTCAAGCCTCGCGAGAATTTGCATGTGACGCGAACATCACTTCCCCAAGGATTTCTGGGTAACGGGCCACCGCAAGGGCTTCTGAGACAACGACGGTTAGGGGGCAAGGCGACGTTTCAGCTAGACGCGGAGAGCCATGCCTTCCGAGGCTAGGCCAGAGAAAGGGAGGACTAGCTCCAAAAGCCGGGTGTTGTGCGATGCACGCCCAAGGCAGGGGCCTTGTGAGGCAGAGCACAGTGTAGAGAAACCGGCTACCGGGTCACATGCCGGGGCCAAGAATCTGAGAGGCAAGGCCGTCATGGCTGCTGTGCCTCAGCCTGGCTGGCGGGCGTCTCTGCGCGACCTGCGGGTTGAGATGCGCCACTCTGTGGCCAGGATGTGGGGCCAGAGGCGCCTTAGGATGCTCACGCTGTCCCTCTGGGTTCTTCTGCTGCTGTGCTATTACCTCAGACCCGGTGAGTACCGGCTTTGGCCACCCGTCAGCTCTTACGGGTCGGGGGAGAGGGAGGGGGAGGGGTGGCGATGACGCGTCCCAACAACCAGCTTTCCCGCCCTTCTGGCCTTCACGCCTTGTCCTCTCCTGATGGCCTTCCAGGCCCTCGGGTCACAGGTCCTCCCAAAGGGCTTTCTGCTCTCACTCTCCCACCCTCCTCAACCTTTCAAAGTCCCTCCTTTTGTCGCGTCTCTTCATAAAAACCTGCCCCTTCTCCCCTCCAGTCAGAAAGTCCTACCCTCTAAAGCCCCTTGAAAAACACCTTCCTTCCTTGATTTTCATCTCAAAAAAGCCCAGATTTCCACAATTCTCCTCAGAAAACACCTCTCTCATTTTTTTTTTAGAATTGAAGTGAAATTCACGTAAATTAACTGTTTCAAAGTAACCAATTCAAGAAATGTGGTGTGTTTAAATTTTTGTGTTCCTTGCCTCTCCCCAGTTCTAAAATATTTTTGTCACCCCAAGTTGAAACTTGTGGGGCACATTTTTCATTGTACAAATAGACTACATTTTATTTATCAATTTATGAAATTTATCAAATTTGGAAAAATCTGGGACTTTTATGAGCAGTGCTGCTATGAAAACTCATGTAGATGTTCTTGTGTAGAAATATTTTCAATTCTCTGGGAATGGAATTGCTAGATCATATGGGAATTCCATTTTGAGGTTTTCAGGATATCCCAAACTGTTTTACAAAGTGGCTGAACCATTTTACATCTCCACCACCAGTGTCCAAGTCTTCCAATTTCACCAGCATTTGTTATCCACCCCCTTTCAATTTTAGCCATTCTAGTGGATGAGAAGTGTATCTTGTGTTTTCGATTTGTATACCCTTAATGACTAATAAGATTGATAAACTTTTCATGTGACTGTTGACCATTTGTATGTATTTGAATAAATGCCTTTTCAAATACTTTGATTATTAAATGGATTCTTTTGGGTTTTATTGTTGAGTTCTATGAGTTCTTTATATATACTGCATACTGATACTTATCAGATATATGATTTGCAAATGTTCCCTTCCATTCTGAAAGTTGTCATTTCACTTTATCAGATCTTTTATGTATAAAAATGTTTAATTTTGAGAAAATCCAATTTATCTACTTGTGCTTTTGCTATCATACATAAACATTTTTTGCTAAACTAAAAATCATGAAGATTATTCCTATTTTTTTTAGGAGTTTTATGATTTTAGCTCTTATTTTTGTATTTTTGGCCCATTTTGAGTTAAGTTTTTATATATGATGTGTTATAGGTCCAGAATGATTCTTTTGTAAATGGATATCTAGTTATCACAGTACTATTGGTTGAAAAGATTAGTTATCGTTCATTAAATGGTTTTGACACTCCTTTACAAATTCAGTTGACCATAGATTTGTGGATTTATTTCTTAACTCTCAAATCTTTTCTGTAACTTGTGTGCCTGTTCCCATGCCAGTACCATATTATTTTGATTACTGCAGCTTTGCATCAAGTAATATGGAAATTATGATATATTTCTAAAAAAGTGCATGTGTTCTGTGATTTCATTCTCTTTTAATTTTTAAATTTTTAGTTAGTTTTTAACAGAGTTAGTATACTTCATAGATAAAATTCTAAGAATATAATGATATTCATAATGATAGGATTAAGAGTCAAAGGGATCACATAAACAAGACTAGTGTCTGCTAATAACAACTGATAGAATTAAAAAGGAGAGAATGATCCAACATGGGAAATGGGATACACAGCAGACTCATAGAATGGCAGATGTCCTAAACAGCACTGTGGCCTCAGAATCAGCCCTTAAGGCATTCAGGTCCAGCTAAAAAGCCCATGAGAGTATTGCAGGCATGGAAAGCCAAGACACTGTGGAAAAAAAATGAAATGACCTAAATGAAAGATCTCTGTGAATGAGATCCCAGCGGAAGGAATGGGCCATCAAAGAAGGAAGTACCTTTCTCTGAAGGGAGGAGAGAACTTCCACTTTGACTATGACCTTGTCTAAATATGATCAGAGTCGGTGAACCCAAAAGGCTTCCATAGCCTTGGCAACTCATGACAAGAGCCTAGGGTGATTACTGATGCCATAAACAAGAGTGTCAATTGTTAAATCAACAACAGGAGCCACTGTGCACTTCCTCCCCATGTAGGATCTCTGTTCTTAATGTGTTGTACTATGTGAATTAACGGTATAACTAGTACTCAAACAGTACTTTACGCTTTGTGTTTCTGTGTGGTTGCAAACTGTTAAAATCTTTACTTAGGGTATACTAAATTGATCTTCTGTCTATAAAGAGAATTGAAAATGAATCTTGATGTGAATGGGATGGGAGAGGGAGTGGGAGATGGGATGGTTGCAGGTGGGAGGGAGGTTATGGGGAGAAAAAGACACTGTAATCCAAAAGTTGTACTTTGGAAATTTATATTTATTAAATAAAAGAAAAAAATAAAAGAAATAAAAATATAATGATATTCTCTTCCTCTATCTGCCTGTCTTTCTCCCATTCTTTCTTTTTCTGTTTTTGAGATAACATAGTTTAAATTTACATTACAGTAAAAAAAAGCTTAATGCTTCACCAAATAAGAAGTTTAACCAAAAGCAAAAAACCCTGGTTTGGTGGGAATATAGGCAAGGGATATAAACAACAATTGACTGGAAAAGTGACCATTTCACACATATACAATAAATATTAAGTAATCAGAGATCATTATTACTAAAATAATATGACATTCTTTTTTTTTATTTGACAGATAGAGTTAGACAGTGAGAGAGAGAGACAGAGAGAAAGGTCTTCCTTCTATTGGTTCATCCCCCAAATGGCCGCTACAGCCAGAGCTGTGCCGATCCGAAGCCAGGAGCCAGGTGCTTCCTCCTGGTCTCCCATGTGGGTGCAGGAGCCTAAGCACTTGGGCCATCCTGGACTGTCTTCCAGGGCCACAGCAGAGATCTGGACTGGAAGAGGAGCAACTGGGACTAGAACCTGGCACCCATATGGGATGCCGGTGCCGCAGGTGGAGGATTAACCAAGTGAGCCAGGGCACCGGCCCTGAATATGATATTCTTAACCATTGGTTTGAAAAAGGTATAAAAAACTTTTACAAAAATATATTTGCCACAATACTGATACACACAGGCATTTCTTTTTTTTTTTTTTTTTGTCTTGTCTTTTTTTTATTTTTAGCTCCCACATGTAAGGGAGAATATGTGGTATTTGTTTTTCTGCATGTGATTTATTTCACTCAACATGATGTCCTCTATTTGCATCCATTTTGATGTAAACAGAATTTCTTTCTTTTTATAGCTTAATGTTATTCCATTGGGAATATATACAACATTTTCTTTATACATTAATATGATAATGTACATATTCCTTGATTCCAGATTTTGGCTATTGTGAACAGTGCTGCTGTAAATATGGTGGTGCAGTGTCGCTCCCCGTCTTCGTGGAGGAACGACACAGGACCCTGCGTTGTTCTTTCGTCTGCTCGGCCCTCCCCGGGTTTGCTGCTGGTTCTTCCCGGGTTGGCTACCGACCCTTCCACCTCCGTGGAAGGGCGGTTCCCCCTGCCACTTTCCCCACTTCCGCGGGGGAGTGGCACACCGCAGGCCGGCTCTTTCGGGGGCTGCACAGGTGTTCCTTCAGATAGATGTTCCTGGTGCATGTTGTCTCTCTCCTCCTTTATAGTCCTCTTCCACCAATCCCAACTCTGCTACCCACACGCCGAGTACGCTGCTCTCCTTCAATCAGGAGCAGGTCCTACAGTTTATTGGTTGAACTGGAGGCAGCTGTGTAGAAGCTGTTTCCTCCTCTCCCAGCGCCATATTGTGGGAGAGCAGATGCATAGAATAAGTCTTAATTCGAGTAACAGTCTAGTCTGAGTTGCTCCCCACAGTGCAGGTATCTCTTTGATGTAATGCGTTCATGTCTTCTGGGTATATATCCAGTAGTGTGATTGCTGAATCATATGGCATGTCTATTTCTATTTTTTAAAGGAAATATCCTTACGGTTTTCCACAATGGCTACACTCATTTACATTCTGAGCAACAGTGTATAAGTGTTCCCCTTTCTCCAAATCCTCACCAGAATTTGTTACTTTTGATCTTTTGGATATTAGCCATTCTGACAGGGGTGAGATGATATCTCATTGTGATTTTGAGGCATTTCCCTGATGACTAATGATGTTGAGCATGTTTTCATATATTTGTTGGCTATTTGTATTTATTCCTTTGAAAGCTGTGGAGGTCTTTTGCTCATTCCTTAGCTGAATTGATTGTTTTTTTTGTTGTTGTTGTTGTTGAGTTTTTGATTTGCTGATATATTCTGGATGTTTATCCTTTGTTGAATACGTAGTTCACAAATATTTTTCGCATTCTGTTGAATATATATTCATTTGGTTGATCATTTCCTTTGCTGTGCAGAAGCTTCTGAGTTTGATATAAGCCCATTAGTGTAGTTTTGCTTGTGTTGGCTGTGCTTGAAGGTCTTGTCTAAGAAGTTGTCCCCTACACCAATGTCTTAGAGTGTTTCCTCTATAATTTCTCCCAGCAATTTCATGGTCTCAGGTCTTAAATTTAAGTCTTTGACCTATCTTGAGTTGATTTTTTTATATGGTGAAAGTTATGGATCTAATTTCATTCTTTTTCATATATACATTCAATTTTCTTTTTTTTAAGATTTATTTATTTGACAGATAGAGTTACAGACAGTGAGAGAGAGAAAGACAGAGAGAAAGGTCTTCCTTCCTTAGGTTCACTCCCCAAATAGCTGCAATGGTCAAAGCTGTGCCAATCCGAAGCCAGGAGCCAGGTGCTTCTTCCTGGTCTCCCATGCGAGTGCAGGGGCCCAAGCACTTGGGCCATCTTTTACTGCTATTCCAGGTCACAGCAGAGAGCTGGACTGGAAGAGGAGCCCATATGGGATGCCAGTGCTGCAGGTGGAGGATTAACCTAGTGTGCCACTGCACCAGCCCCAATAACA